CACCTAACAACAACAAAGTACCTAAACAGTGCCTGCACAATGTAAACTTTATACAAGTGTCAGCCACCACCATCATTGGCATCATATCGAAACATTTCTACATGAAGAAACTAGGCAGTAGTATAAAAGCAAAAAAACACTAAATAAATTATTTTCACTTGTGAAATTCACAAACATCATTTATACATAAAACTTTTGTTTTTTCAGAAGTGTGGCTAAGGTGATGGCCAGACTCTTGCCCATGTCTTCCACTGAGTATCTCCATTTCTTTCTTACAGATAAGCTGCAAGGTTTTGCATTTTTTTCACCAGTACATGATGGCATGCAATTATTTCTGGATGCTCTGCGAAGGGATCTATCTGCACACTCTCATAGTGGCATCCGTGTTTACCGAGGCACAACGCTTGTGGTGGTATTACCTGCTGGGATGGGGTATGTATTTCCTCCAGCTGAGGTTTGAACCACCTTTATCTATCTTTATGTTTACAGTCTTGGTCTCAGCAAACAGAGTCAGGAGCTCAGGCCCTTTGAGGAATGATGGGGCTCAGGGGCTGGCAGGAGTTCAGTCTCCTAGAAGGCTTGGCAGAATGCTAGGCTTCCCCTTAAACAAGCTCAGTTGAATTGTGATGAGCATGGGAGTCAGCGCAGAGGTTGTCTTCAGGAAACAAGCCCAGTTAAGGATGGAAGCAAAACATCCACTGATTGATTGAAAGAGGATCTGAATAGGGCTCCTTCTGTTTTATTCATCACGTCTGTGTTCAGCTGTTTGAATTCTGTGCCTCGCCACCCTGGCCTATATCAGATGCTAGATTCTCCTGCTCTGCCTTGTCCTCAAAACAGGCCAGAATGAAATCAAAATAGCCTTTTATTGTTGTTGTTTTTCTTTTAGCTTCAGCCTTTCATAAGAGGCTGATCATTCCTTTCCCAGCCCTCTGAGCCTCATGCAGACCTTCTTAACAATTTCTCAACTACCAAAGATTGTCATGCCAAGAATCAACTAGATACAATTTAATCCCCTCAAAGTAATAATAGCAATTCTGATTATCAATGGTGATGTTTGGTGCTGGTTAGGTGCCTTCTAATAGAAGACTTGAAAATATCACCCCACTCCAGACCCACCACCACATACTTAAGCAGTAAACCAGTTGCCGATCAGTAGACTACAATTTATGGTGACCCCATGTATGTCAAAGTAGAACTGTGCTCCATAAGGTTTTCAATGGCCGATTTTTCACAAGTAGATCACCAGGCATTTCTTCCAAGGCATCTCTGAACGGTTTCAAACTGCCAACCTTTTGGTTAGTAGCCAGGCGTGTTTAACTGCACCTCCCAGGGATTCTACCACATACATACACACACACTATTTCTGTAGGATACATTTCACTTATTTCCTTTGAAATAAAATTTATGACATATTTCATGTACTAGTTTTGACTGTTCAAAAACATCTATCTGCCACACTCAGAAATTTTTCCATGGAAAACAAGTGCTGTAAATTTATGTGACATTCGGTAGAGACGAGTACACTCTGGAAGGAACAATTTATCCTGCTCTTACATACTGATGCATTGTGAATTAGGTATAAAGCTTTTTGGCATCGTCATAGACAGCTCAGTGAAGACATCTGTTTAACACACATAAACAATTCAAAGTGAAAAAAAAACAAGCCGTTCGGCTGTATCAAAAAAATAGGTAATTATAATAAGTAAAATATTTATGTGCTACCTTAAACCTTCTCCATCAACAAACGTTGAAAACTTTATCAGAATGCTTTAAATAGAATCCTAAAAAAAAATTGCACTGCATAAAGTAACCACAGAATTATCAATTTAAAAGAATGAGAGGGATTTGCACTTCCATAGATAAATATTTGGAAAGATAGTCAACCGATGTGGTTCTAAAATGTAATTATTTTTAAAATGCCAGAGCTAAATATAAATCTATCTTTCTCCACTCCTACAACACACATACACACACACATACACACACCCCAAAATTCCACCAAACTTCTTACCGTTAAAAAATCACGGTACCAAATCTCAACTTTGGGGGAAAAAAATTGAGAGACAGCTATGATGACATATTTTAAATCAATAGCTTTCTCCTAGAACTTTAGGTAAGCATTATATTTTGATAAGAGGAAAAAAAATAAAATATAACAAAAATTACTTTTCAAGAAAAATAGTTTCACAGAAACTTAAAAGAATTTAATAGACCATAGAAGAAATTTCAATTGGACAATATTTCGTTGTCCTTTTGAAATTATTTTCACATGAAAGCAGTTTGATATAACAGAATAATAGGTTCTAAATCTTATATGGGCTAGAAAAAAAAAGACAAACTACACTCTGAAAAGATCCTGGAAAATGTGGCAGCAGAAAATTTGGCCCCAGAAAAGCCAAGTCCTAAGACCTAACTTTGTTTTCTGGTGATGTATATAGCTCATCCACGCATTTCGGCCGTGAATAATATTACCTACTCTTGGATCTGGAATTGATCTCAAAGAATATGTAAGAGCTATTGTGAATTTCACTCTCTGAGTGAACAAGCTTCTGGTAGTGAAATTCTCCCCTACAGAAAGTGAAAAAATATTTCTTTCAATAGTTACTCCTTTCCAAGTTTTCATGGCACTGCCTGTTGGACAATTTCTCTCAAATTGAAGCAACTTCAAATACTGAAGTTTAGTTCTCCGAGAAATCATTTATTTTACAATCCTCTTCAGTTTGAGTCTTCATCTTGCTGGTTCCCCCCTTGCTATAAATCAAAGGAAGGAAATTCCTCCATGGATTTTCACATTGATCAGTGAGAAATTATCTAGTCCCCCGAAAAAAAAAAAAAAAAAAGTGTACTAAGGACGGTGGATTATTTTTTGGTGAGCGGGATGTGCTGTTATGGCTCTCAGATCCTGGGAGGGAGAAGAAGACGAAGAAAGAGAAAAGAAACTACATGAAAAGAGGCATCATGTCTAGAAGTAGGCGAAGTGCCCTAGGCATTAGAAGACATAGGATTTATATTGTTGTCTATATTAAGTACGAAACACGGTTTCCCTTCTACAAAATAATGAGTTGGGATTGAGATCTCCGTATGCCTCTTTTGCTGTCTCATACTAAAATAGGCCTTTCAGAGTAAATCCAGAGAATGAGTGCTTGTTTCTGAAACCAAGCAGGGAAATGGCATATTAGAATTGCTATGAATAAAACACAGTTATGTTTTGTATAAATAGTCATATTCAAAATTATTTCATGGTCAGGCATTCAATCGATGGTCCTATTGAATGATGTGATTCAGGGGTTTAGAAGCTGATGGGGGGAAAGCTTAATATTTTGAGACATTCTCTTTTTCATATAATTCACAGGAAAAAAATGTGTGGGTGTAATTCACTTCTGAGACACTTTTCTCAGTATAATGGTGATGATAATAATAATAATAAACCCATGTTTCTACAATGTCTACATCAAATCCAACAATATTTTATTGTACATGGGTGCATCTGAAAATCTTTTTTATACAAAAATCACAACTTTACTCTTGATTGCATTTATAGAATTAAAATTATTTTTAAAAGGATGTAACCTGACAGGATGCATTGCCAGCAACCACCTCTCTTGTTCTGTTTATAGATTCAAAGTTGTTGTTTGCTAGCACTGCACGTTTAGTCGGGGAAGTGCAGACTAAGCTGCCTTAATAAAGATTCTGCAGCCAGACTTTACAGAGGGCGCCTGAAGCTTTCCTGAAACGTTTCTTAAGAAAAGAAAACAGGATGGATGCACATGGTATAAATAGACAGAAAAACAAAAAGCCTATTAGTGTGAACACCAACCAAGGCTTTAGTAGCAATGAGACTCTCCCTCCCATACTCTGTCATAGGTCATTTTCCTCCAAGGTGACCCAGATCCTTTCTATAAGAGAGCCTAGTTCACACTCAGTGAAAAACTTTCTGGTCTCAGTTAACAGTCATCATCAGCATCATTATTGCAAAGATAACAATGGTAGTAATAGTCCTAGTAAGAGTAATAATGTACCTACCCTTCTGGGTAATGTGTGAAAGGTTTTTAATTATCTGGAAGCTCTTAAACACGTGCTCTGAAAGCCCATGATGTTCTAACTGAGGGCATTTTACCTGGTTTGACCAAAGGCGATTTGTGCAAAAACATCAGGGAAATATCTAGATGGAGATATTAAATTTGTCACTATTTTTGCAAATAAAAAGTACTGTTTTCCACACACCTGTAGATGTATTTCCATGTACTCATGACCAAGAAACCAGGTGTAACTTGTACTTTTTCACATTTTTAGGGTTCCCACTGCTGCCAACCACGATCCATGCTATTGCTAGGGCAGTCTACTTCAATGACAAGTAAGTACTATGGTGGTTTTTAAGTTAACATGTTCTTCAATAATATGCATTGTAATGACATGCCCCACCCCCTTTTTCTTTCAGCTGCTGGCTGAGTATGGATACTCATTTGCTTTACATCATCCACGGCCCTGTCATGGCAGCACTGGTGGTGAGAATTGCTTTTTAAATCCATTATTAACAGTATTACTGTATTTTTTTTTTTTGCAAATAATGCACCCACATAAATAATCCACTCATGCATATAATAAGCAGAAATAATGAGATTAAGTAAAATAGTTCTGGCATAGCACACCTATGCATATACCACACATGTCTTGTGACATTTCCAAAGTGAATTTTGACCTCGTTCACCCATCCTCACATAGTATAGGTTAATCATATCTTTCTTTCTGTTCATTTTCTTTCATTCTATTCATTTTCTTTAATCTCCTGCTTATTTCTAAAAAAAAAGTCCAAAAATGTTACTTTTGATCATAATTATATAATAAAGGTATACGCCATGGTCCAAGAAGTCACGGATCAAGTTTGGTAGTTCCCCAGTAATTGGAAAATAAATGGTCAAAACTGCGTTTGTTTCTATTAATTTAAGTTGATAATTACAGTGCATTAGCTCAACAGTTGCTCTACCAGTAAATACTTTTGGCTTAAATTTCCAGTAATATAAAATCAATACCTACCTTAAGTGAAGTTTCCATGTGATCAGAAATCAAAATTGAAGTCAGCAACATGTAAAAAAACATTGGCATAGCACGCTTATGAAAATAACGCATGGAGGGGTTTGCACAGTTCACAAAAAAAAACTTATAACACCTTATAACACACACATTATTTGCATAAAAATACAGTACCTCTTTGCTGAGATTTCTGTGCATATGGTTCTGTATAGTATATATATGATAACTTTAAAATGAAGCTAATTTAATGATATTCTATAAGAAGAAGAACACTTTGACTTTAGAGTCTTCAAAAAATGTCTTTTAACGGGCGGACACCATAATCTTATTTCTATACATGTTATAAAATGATGTAGTTTATTCTTTAAAACTTCTATAATTAAATGCTACTAAGGGAAAGTGAAGGCCAAGGGGCTGTGCAAATGGTGAAAATGTGTTGCTCATATATAAAAGTGAAAGAGTACAAAATATGACTCCCTTTTGTAAAATTAATAAAATCAAAATGAAGATTAAACGTTCTTTATTTGAACCTAATATGTTTACATATAACCAAAAAAAACCAAACCCATTGCCATCAAGTGGATTCCAAGGGGAAAAAACAAAACTATTTTCTCGTTTAGAAAAGAAAAATGTTAATAGAGGTCTGAAAAGGGCTTCGGTGACACTGAAGCTTTGTGTCCCAGGAACGCTGAGTAAATTGTATTATTTCTGACATTCTGCACAGGGGACATCTGTTCCCCACACTGGATAAATAAGAACTGAGGAAAGTTGGTGTCTTCAAGTAGTACTCATCTGGGTGATCTGCTCATAACATTGTCTCTTTTAGGTGAATTTCTTCTTTTTGCTCAACATCGTCCGCGTGCTGGTGATTAAGATGAGGCAGAACCGTGAGGCGGAATCCCACATGTACCTGAAGGCTGTGCGGGCCACTCTGTTCCTTGTGCCACTGCTGGGCATCCAGTTTGTGGTCTTTCCCTGGAGGCCATCCAACAAGGTGCTTGGGAAGATCTATGATTATCTCATGCACTCTCTGATCCATTTCCAGGTGAGGACCCTACAAGATACTTATTCATCTACTTGTTTAGCTAGTTTATACAGGAAGAACAATCTTCTGGGGCTGTCTGTGACTGGGAGCCCTGGTGGCACAGTGGTTAAGTGCTGTGCTGCTAACCCAAAGGTCAGCGGTTCAAACCCACCAGAGACTCCACAGGAGAAACATGTGGCAGTCTACTCCTTTAAAGATTACAGCCTTGGAAACCCTCTAGGGCAGTTTGACTCTGTCCTGTAGGGTTGCTATGAGTTGGAATCGACTTGATGGTGGTGGGTTTAGTGTCTGTGATTTGAACGATCCTTCAGAATACATGTCGACCCAGAAGCAGTACAGTACCTCTTTGTGTTTTCACTGTCTTCTTACCTATTCTTTGAATCTTAAAACTAAGGAAGAAAATGAAGGGTTTTGAGAATACGTCTTTATGAGGACAAATATTTCTCAACAAACTGATGTAGCACATCAGAACTTTTAATCCCATAATCCTTTATCAAACTTTCTTTTCCTTCCCTAGTCTTTCAAGTGCCATATTTGTTTTTGCTTTATTGGCGGAAGGTTTGAAAACCAATGTAATCATTGCCAATGATCAGTCTCCTAACCTGAATTACTATAAACACAGTCTTTAATGCCATGAAAGCATGAGAGAAGAGAAGCATCATAGTATCATAGTAGGAGATGCCTCCTCTTGAACCCCAAGCTGGAAGTTCTATCCCTGTTAAACTAGGCCCCAGTTTCCAGTTACTTCATGTTGCTGCCTTGGCCCTAATTAGAGGAGTCAGGACCTTACAGTACCTGCCGGTTTAGTCACTTCTTCAATGTTAGGGCAAACCTCAGAAGACAGGTATGCCTGACATTCTCGCTTGGTCTGATAAAAAATACAGATAATCATAGCTACCATTTATGAAGCACTTAATGTTTGAGGTAAGTATTATGCCCATTTTACAGATAAGGAAATGGAACTTTTTGATAGTGGCAAAGTCAGGAGATCTATCTAACTTTAGCCCATGATCTTATCCCATAATCGTAACTTACAGCCTCCAGTTCAACAGGCCCAGCCAAAATTTCAAAGAAAAACAATTTTTGCAAGACGCTTTCCAGCTTCTTCTTTCAGTACCTGCTTTCCCATTCCTCCCAGGGCCCTCAGCTGGTCCCACCCAGGTGTGTTCTTTTCCTGATCACAAGTATAGCAATTGCCAGACCTTCCTTTTGTAAATAAATGTTGAATGTGTTCACCAAGAGGGGTGTTGAATTTGCACAGAGCCATCCAAGCCTCCTGCTCTGTCACCCTCCATTTGTCAGACAGACGTCAGGAATCCCTGCCAGTTCAGTGACCATATGGCAAAGCACAGCCAGGCCTCTCCTCACATAGCAGAGAATGGAGTGGGCTCTCAGGGGCTGTCCTCAGCAGCCAAGCATCTGCCACCCAGGAGAGGAGATTGACTGCCCTATTTCCATTCATTCTGCCCCAAATCCAAAGCCCCAATGACAGCATAACACTGGAATGTTGAGAGCAAAGCGGGGCATAGCAGGCTTCAAGGCAGTGGTGATTCTGCCACAGCCTCTTAGTCCAGAGTTTTGCTGTGTCTCTTATAAATTTCAAATTAGTTTTATTTCCTCCACTGAGGCTTAATGTGAGGAGATTGAAATTAATAGACTAAAAAGAAAGTTTAGGGATGGTTTTAATTATCTGTGCTGTTGCACTAGCCATTTCTGAAGATAATTAAAGTTTGGGCACAAGGAATCTTCTGAGTAGTGACCTGGGACCTCAGACGTCACTCAGTCCACATCTTTCTTAGAGAGATGAATTTTGGTGGGGTATAGTCCTGCACTAATTCACCATGCTAACACTGGACACAGTCAGGCCACAGCCATGAAGAGTGACTCTTGTGCTACTGAAGGTGTCTAGAGATTTCTCTACTAAACTCTATGCGGTCTCAATTTAATTCTGTTAAGCACAAAAACGTTTTTCAAATCCAGTATAATCAGCATGCTCTGCTGTAAATCTCCATGTTGAAGGGGGCACTATGTTAACCAGAGGTATTAGAGTTGTCCTTTCAGCCAAACGATAGAATCCGAACAAGAAAAATACATTTCTTACTGAATATTCTTGTAGCCTGGCACTGGTTATGAGTCTCAGGTAATTATTTTTCTTGCCTTTATCCTTCTTCATCCAGCCTTGACTTGCTATTGCAGTGGAGAAATGTTCCTCTCCAAATAGTCTATTTATATTGATTACGATATAACAGAACGCACACAAAATAATTTCAACTCTATCTTTCCTCCTCTTTTTTAGGGATTTTTTGTGGCTTCTATCTACTGCTTCTGGAACAATGAGGTAATGTATTTCACATAATAATGTCACCTGTTTATATGAAGCCAGCACTCTACAGTTTCCCAAGGACCTCATACACATTTCATTTGCTCTCACTTCTATGGTTTACCATGTAAGGTTTCAGGGCTACCAGGATCATGTTTTTTCCACTACTCCAAGCTAAATCTTATCTGTGGGTGTGTGGTACAATCACACATATTTCCAAGATAGGCAATTAAGTTTTAATTTTCTTGGGTTATATCTTGACCTGGCCTGTACCCCCAGTAGCAATAGTGGAAGCTATTCTGCTATGTCTGTAGAAAAAGAAGTCATGTCCCCATTTTCTTTGGAAGACCACATCCCTCGCTAGGGCAGAGTGATCTCCAACCAGTTTGTACTGGTTCACTACCGTCTTTTCCAGTTGGTTGGTGACAGCATCAAACCACTTATTCAACATTTTAAAAATCACCCCACAAGTAAGACTTAAAAAGGATTCTTCAGTAAGTAATCTGTTATCTGAATACTTAGATCAGTAGACTCTAGAGATACATATGGCCAGTGTTTTCATGCATTTTTAGCCATGTACCCTTTCATCCAAAAAAATCTTTCCTGGAAGCTCAATTTGTAAAACAGATAAAAGTGGAGATCCTCTAGCCTCCAAAATTTCTTCCAAAGAACTTGCAAGACTTCGGGGAACATAATTAGAAAGCCCATTCATTTTTCAGATGAGAAACTGAATTTGAAAAAGGCCATGTGACTTGCCCGATGTCATAGTCATAGTTGCGGTCATAAGTAGGACTGGAATCCAAATTTCCTGATTCTCAATTAACTAAATCTTCTTCCCCTTCATTACGTTACGCCTATGATTCCTCCATGGAGATTTGTTCTTACACTGTTCCTAGGACCACATAACTTTGGTCTTTTTTATCTTAATTTCTCTTAGTAATAATTCTATAGTAAGGCAAATCATATTTTGTTAAGTGATTTAGATATTACTTTCCTGTTAGTAATTAGAAATATTTTTCTGACCTTAACCAACTGATTATTTACTTTACTCTGTATTCTTTAATTTAAATAATTTTTAGTGCATACCTAAAATATTTTGCTGCTCTGCAACCTGTCAACCATCTCCAACCTCAATATCACAAGGTTGTTATTTCTCCAATTCGCTCTTTCCATTAGTGTATTTCCTTCCTTCCTTCTCTCCCTCCCTCCTTCCCTCTCTCCCTCCTTCCTTTTTTCCTCTATTCATGGTGACCACATGTGTTACAGAATACAATTGCTCCATAGGGTTTTCTTGGCTATAATCGTAATGGAAACAGATTTCCAGGACTTTTCTTCCATGGTACACCTGGGTGGATTTGAACCACCAACTTTTAGGTTAGCAGTTGAACGCAAATCATTTGCACTACATAGGAACCTTAGTACATAGTTACAGATACAGTGAATTTAACAGGAAAAGAAATTGGAAAGACAAGACAATTTAAATCCAACCATGAAGATTCCAACCCAATTTTCTTTTTTTACAGATGTAGAAACTGAGGCTGAAATATACCAAACTTATAGAGTTAGTTAATAATAGAGTCAGGTCTAATACTTAACGTCTTCCAGCCATCAGACCCGGGCCCAATTTTTACAGCTAGCAATAATTTTTTCTTATATAATCAGAAAAGAAGAAGTGATTTGTGTTAATTGCTTTTATAATGAGTGATGAATTTATATAATTCAAAATTTTGTATGTTATGCTTAACCCATTGGCAAGTCCTAACACTTACAATGCTTTTTGGGAACAATAAAAATCTCCCTGTTTTTTCAAATAGATTCAATGACATTATTCTTGTCAGCACAGCAGCATGAGGTTCAACCTGTGGTATTGTAGAAGATAATCACCTTTATTAAACAGCAATTATTGAAGTGTTTATTACATTCTGCCAAGGGCCCGTTTTTGTATGTATGGTTTACCAATTAAAGCAGATTGCCGTCTCCATACAAAAAGGTAGGTTATAATTTTGGAGTATAATTAGAGAAGGCTTTAAAACTTTCTGTAATAACAATTTTTAAAAAATTAAAATGGACTTCAAACCCTATGACCTCATGCTTTCTGTATACTTCATTAATACCCATGAATACTCTGCTGGCAATTGTTTTTAAAATGACGAAAGAGACAAAAACAAAGACTTTTGACTTTTTTCCTCTGGGCACTTCTGCAAACTTGCTCTAAACTTGTGACTGTCTACCTGTTGACCCTGGATACTTTCAAATATCTGTGTAAGTTGTAGCTATGTGGATGATGTTGAATCCATGGCAACCACCAGTGGGCTTTGTCTAGGGACATTGTCTATATGAGGTAAATCCATGCTCCACCACTAGATTTTCATAAGACTTAAGTAAGAGAAGGAAGTGGATTCCTTGTTGAATTTTCCATCTCCTTCAGGAAAGGCACTGTGTGGAGATAAAATAATAAACTAGTCAATAGTTATTCAGCACTAAATGTAGTTAGCTAAATTGTCCTAATTGAGCCTTTTCACTCTCCCTCACCTCGACCTCTTCTATTCCTGTAACTTGTCCCTCTCCCCATCTTTCTCCCTCTATTCATATTACAGCTGATATTTGTACCACTTCTAGTAACATGCTTAGAAAACCATAGGAGGCAAGACATTTTCATGAGTCAACTTGCAACCAGTAAATAGCCCTCAGAAAAAATCAAGCCAGATAGGAGCCTGAAACTGCTAGAAAAACATAAAGGAGTTATTTGATTCTTTCAATCCAGCCACATTGACTAGAAAATCCTTGGGAGCCAACATGGGAGGAGAGTATGAGAAAAAGAAGGAAACTTATGCTGCTCTGAACCAAGCACCGTACTAGGTGCTTTAAATAATCCCAATAAATCTTGCCAATAGTTTTTTGAGTTAGTTTTCTTACAAAGGAGAAAATTCTAAGAAGTTAAAAACAAAAAACATGCAGCCAACAAACTGGGACTCAAATGCAGAGAACACTGTCTTTGGAGCATGTGCTCACACATTCAGTGCTGCCTTCCTGGCTGTGGCGATGACCGTAAGAAACAAAGCCTTTTCTCAGTTCAGGTCTCCAGAGGTTCCCACTGTGATCCTTGACTCCTGGGTTCGGCTGGAGAAGAATGCTGCTAGTAAAGAAAAGATAGACTTTTCTAGTATCTTCTGCATTACTACAGTGACTTCCTGCACTAACTTGCCAAAATCCCTTTCCCCCCACAGTTTCAGGAACCTCAGGATTCCCATCAGAAGTATAGACTTTTCTCATTGATCCTACATCTTCTTAACTATGCAGATAAATACAGAGTTTCCTGACTTTAATGTCTTCTCCACCCCTTGTGTTCAGTATAGTATATCATATTCTTATTTGTTTGAAATTTGTAAGACATGTTTGGTAAATTTGTTTACATATTAGAAGACTTTCAACAGAAAAAGATTGAATTTTAGTCTTATAATATTGTCAGTCCATTAACCAGAGTATAGAATTTTATTTGGCACACACCATCTCAAGCCATGCTAGATAAGGGAAAATCCACAGTATGAGACCAATATTATAAAATCCTGAACTGTGCTATGGTTTACATACATATTGTGCAGATTTAGATATAAGAACGTCTACCCTCTCAAGGGTTTTAGCACATGAAAAGTTTACTAAACCTTTCTCCCTAATATCGCATGTATGTTACCTGGAATATGGAACCAACTCAAGTTTCATCCATTGAAAATGAGAGCTAAAGAAGAAACCTTTACTCAAAGTAGCAAATAACCTTGGCAATGGTGGTTTAGGGAAGTAACTCAGCTGTGTAGTCAGCAAATTCTTCCAAGATCATATCTTCCACAGCCACAGTATAACCAGTGCAGCCCCTTTAGATCAGAATTATACTTCAACCTCCTTTAACCTCTGATAACCTCAAGAAGTGTGCTTATAAATTTTGCTCTGGTCCCTTCTGGCATTTATATGACAACAGGGCTTCTTTTCTTCTTCCAGGTCCAAACTACCGTGAAGCGCCACTGGGTGCAGTTTAAGATCGAGTGGAACCAGCGTTGGGGAAGCCGCAACTCCAACCGCCCGGCTTCCAACGCTGGACCGCCCAGCAATGATATCCCTGTTTTTATCTGCCATCAGCAGCCGCGAAACGAAGCAGCCACCGAAAATGGCGAGGAGGGTGCTGAGGTCATCGCTCTGGAAATCATAGAGCAAGAGTCATCTGCTTAAATGTGAAGTAACAATAGCATTGTGATCACTGCGCCTTCACTTCCTGGGGAAAGACCGTCCGTACATCTAACGTGATTTCCATCCTCCCAGGAGCAGAGCTTATCATTAGTGAAGACTTATTCTGTGAATTTGTCCATAGTGAATCTGAGGAAAGTTATTTTTGGTACTATTGCTTTGGGAGACAGTCAAGGAATGCAGTCTCCCACTGCAACTTGTGAACCCCATCATTCATCCAAAACTTAGATGTGGATATCATAGTAATGCATGCAAAGTATCCAAGGAAAACATGATTAAATTGACGTAGCTCAGATACAGGGTGCTCTGAGTTAATCCTGAGCCATTTATACCTTTGAAAAATTAAAATCACTGTCAATATTGTTCTCTTTTAACTCTAAGCTTTTAATTAGAATATTTCTGTATTGGGCTATGGATCTGATTTTTAAATTTTTCTTATTTCAGTCATTTCTCATGTTCCTCAGATTTTACCATCTACACTATGTCGACTGTACAAATTACAACATGACCTCTGCAAGGCAAGGTGGCTTTCTAAAATAAAGATGACAATGAGTGTGGGGGGGAAAGACCTGAATTTGGCAGGAAGATGTAATGCTTTGAATGAAAAAATTTAAAGTCAATTTGCTGGAAACATTACCTGGGCCAATTTGTTAATTGGTTTATTAGTATTGTAGGCTCAGCTTATTTTTGGATAATCCTGTCCATTGGGCACGCACTAACTGCTGTAAGGAATTGGCCTTCACCCTGAATATGCTTTGAGAAGACATTTATAAATCGAGAGGTCACAAAGAATCCATTGCTAAATTTTTCACAAAACTGCCAAAACTATAATTCCTAGTGGAAGAGAATACCCTTTTTAAAGACAGTTTTCCACTTTCCTAAGCGCCAGGATTTATAAAGCGAATCATTCCAAGGTTTATAAAGCAAATTACCTCTTGCCCCTGGGTGCTATCTAGCAGTGCAAGATAAATTTGTTTAAGACTGGTAATTAAAAGACTCCATATAAGTCCATTAACTGCCTTCCACCCAGCTTCAAAGCTTAACAAGCTCTGTCTTTTCCAGGAAGACTCAGTAGGGCTAATTAGAATCAGTTTGTAGTTGACCTCTTATTTACTGCTATTAGCAAAACGGGAAAAAAATGTAAATGCTACAAGTTTAACCATATACCAATTCATGTTACAATAAAAGTGGAGTTTCTCATTAAAACCCAATATTATACTCCCACATCTCTCTTTACTTCTTCAGTATAAGATCTTCAAAAATCCCTGACTAAATGAGTATCATCATTCCTGGCACCTGAAATTAATTTGTGAATTTGCAATAGTAATCAAAGTTACCATTATTTAATTTGTATGCTAAATGAGGAGACAGTGAAACCCTCCAAATCTCAAATCTCATCTACGTCATCTTATGCCACTGCCTTTCAGAAATGATTAAGCTGTAGAAAGACAATCAAAAGATTTGTTCTGATTATATTTTTAGTGCACCCAAAGAAAACTATATTTCTGGAAAGAAAATGTATTTTGGATACAAAAAGTAGTTTATGTCTCCTTTATTGAATGTAAAGGAGTCGAAAAGAAGGTATTTTTCCAATCACAGTGTTTATGTAGTGCTGTTCTATTTTTGTTTACAAACGTGGAAAACAGTATTCTGGCAGCTCTAGTACTATTGTTATAATATACTGCTAAGATATTGCTAAGATATTGCTAATAGATGTGTATTGTGCTTATAGCAAGAGCTAAGAAAACAAAATAGCTTATCATAGAATTATGCATAATGCCAATATTGTGTGAAATGCTTGTGTTATGTATGTGTAGAAAATTAATATAGAGTATGTTATAAGCAAAAAAGATGTGTATTTGCGTATTTTTCTTTAAAAAAACACACACATGTCATCTTTTTCATTCATTTATTCACCCTATTCATTCCGTGCGTTCTTATTCATTTCAGCCACAGGCAGCCAACATCTCATCTTACTTGTACTGCACAAGAGGAAAAGACAATCAAGAGTAACTGTGTACAAAAAAGGTCAAGGCTATCATCTTTACTAGTATAACCATTTTCAGTCTTCAATTTGACTATAAACTCTATGTCACCGTTCTCATGCCCTTCTTAAAGCAAGAATCACACACAACTGTCAATCTATATTGCCTAAGTTTGGAAAGCACAGAATAGAAATTAGGGCAAAAAAGTATCATAAACTTGTATTGTACTTTTTTCCCCCATTATTTTGGGATCAGACTTGAGCTATCCAATATTTTCACATCACATCAGATCGTTAGAATTGTTACAATCATCGATTTTTAATGTAGTTTGGTAGAGAGACTAAGGCTGGATAACAGGCAACTAATTAAATATCATTAGAATGCATAAAGGTCACTACTGGAAAAATTTTCAAATCTAGAAAGCATGAAATGGAAAAAATGAGGATTAAATGAGAATTGTGTTGGACTAATAAAGGAGAACAGGAGCAATTCGTAGGTTCTTTACACTCTAGGATAACATCCAAAACTATTGGCCTCATGAGATCTGGGGAACTCTTTCAGAAAGGATACATAAGGACCACATCTTTCCCTTTGTGTCCCAGGGGGCAATACAAGTAGATATTATTATCCTTATGACCTTGAAGAACAAAAGTAATTTCTCATCCTTCCATAAAATCAGATTCTCCAAGAGGGTCACTTGTACTCAGATGGTCAGCTGCTCACCTGCCTTGATCCCTACTACAGAGTGATTCAAAATAGGCCTTTTGATGTACGTGGTTATTATGGTTCCTGAGGAGGGAAAGGTGTTAGAAAAGACATGATAGAAATGCAGTTGTCATGGGGATCCATCTCTACTCATTCACTGGTGCATTCATTACTCATTTATTCAACAGATATTTCATACACCTTGCTTTCTACCGCACACAAACGTTTATTAATGGTCATTACCAAGGAAAAGTTTCTTTGCAGTGGTGACTGCTTCTTTCCTAATTCAGGGATGACAAAATTAAAAAGTACTGAGACTGATATCTTTGGGACAGAAAAAGAAAGTGACACATGTGGTTGGAGGTGGAGGCTGAGTGTGATCTTCCCTCCTCTTTTTTTCTGGGCAGGGGAGCTCAAATTATAAGAGACCATTCTTAGAACAAGATCTCTGTATAAAGGCTTAGCTGGGACTCATTTTCTTGACAACAAGGACTAAAACAGTGGTTCTTCCATTGGCTAGATTAAAGTTCAACTGTTTACCCCAGGAGTTAACACTTCAGAGTTTAAAATAAGATTATTCGTATAAAGGGGGCTAGAAGCCATACTTAGACAATCAGATGAACTCAGAAGGGAACTCCATTTATTATTTTGAAAGAGAAGGCAAGATACCCCACTCCCAGCTTAACTAGTATAAAACTGATTTTACAGAACTAATCCATTGATGGAAACCCTGGTGGTGTAGTGGTTAAGAGCTATGGCTACTAATCAAAAGATCAGCAGTTCAAATCCACTAGGCACTCCTTGAAAACTCTATGGAGCAGTTCTACTCTGTCCTATAGGGTCACTATGAGTTGGAATCCACTCGAAGTCAGTGGGTTTGTTTTGTTTTGTTTTTTTAATCCATAGATAACTGGAGGGGAACCAACCAAGGTAGGACAGGAATCATTAAAAAAGATGATAATATCTGTGTCTCAGGGCAAAGGAAGGTAGAGAACCACATTTGACAATTAAGAACTGACACTATTTTTTATTCTTTGGGAAGTGGAAGTAATATCTGTTTAATGTTTCTTTTAATACTATGAAACACTGAAGTGGAGAAAACACAACCACTGAAACTGTAACTACCTTCGGCCAGGAAGATTGCCTAATATCATATCTACCCCCATTTGGATTAACAAGCATCTCTGAAAGAGTTCAGAGATTTTCCATTATCTTAAGCCTTGACCAGCCAGTCTCTGAGGTCACTGATCAATGCCCATTCTATATTTACAGAAAGTCCGTGCCATCTATTTAACTTTCCCAGAAACTCTTCCACTGACACTAAATACTAAATACGTACCCTCCCCCTTACATATTGACCAGCAATGCCACTGCATGTCACTGCAGTCTCCTTTGTTTAAGAGACCTATTATCTTATTTTAATTTGGATATATTGCTTCCAAATAAAATCTCAGAGTTATTGCTGGTGAAGCTTTGAACAGGTATTCAATAAAACTAGTTGAGATATCTTTAATGAAAAAACAACTTTCAGGCTAGATCAGGAAATCTGTCTCTCTCCAACCCTGCCAGGCTGGTTGATCAAAGTTAGCACGTGGGTTTCCCATGCAGAGGCCCTACACCTAAACAGGGACCCAGCTGCAAACCCTTGAAATCATTACACAGCAGGGCTTGTGGTTAGTCTCAGAGTGGCAAGCATTTTGCTGGATGTAGAGCCTCCCCCACTGCACTCATGCATTGTGGCTTCTGTGCATCAGGAAAAGATATCCTGGGACCAATGCTGTGGACAGCATCCCTTAAATAGGGATGATTTAGGAAGGAAAAAAAAAAAGACAAACATCAATCATCGACACACTGTACTCAATATAAATGAATCTATTGACATTAGCTTACCTATTCTTTTTTTTTATTTTTTTTATTGTACCTCAGGTGAGGGCCCACAGAACGAATAGTCTCTCACGAAACAGCAGTACACATAGCGTTCCATGACACCGGTTAACAACCCCACAACATGTCAACCCTCTTAACTTCCCAACCCCTTTTCCCTTTGGTGAAAATACACATAGCCAAAGATACACCACCTCAAAAACTTCCACATGCACAGTTCAGCGACATCGACCACGCCCTCCCAACTGTGCCACCACTCCCACCCAAGACAAAGGCCCACAGAACAAAACAGCCTGTCACCCAACAGTTACTACAAATGTTGCCCTACAACAATGGTCAACAACCCCACAACACATCAACAATATCCCCACTCAACCCTGGGTTCCCCACCACCAGCTTCCCCATCTCCCCTGTCCCTCGGCCCC